TATAAACTCTGCCGTTGATACTTCCTTTCTTTTCTGTCTCCTCATTTCCTTTTTTATTTCTTCCTTTTCTTCCTTCCTCTTTTAAATATTCTATTACAATGCAACATGCATACAGGAAAGCACACAAACAATATAGAGAGCTCAATTAAATAACTAAAAGCAAATAGAAAAACTGTATATGCTTATGACAGCCAGAAGCTCATAGCCCCATCAGTACCTCTTCCCCAGTCACCAGAGTTTAATCAACACCCTGGCTGTCATAGTCATCACTACCTAGATTTTCTTTATCGTTTTACCACTTAAACATGCCTTTCTAAACATTATAGTTACTTTTTTCCTGCTTTTTGAACTTATAAATGAAATTGTACAATATATATGCTTTTTAACCTTGTTTAGTTTAACATTATGCTTGTGAGGTTCATTTGTATTTTAGCTTGTAATTGTGGTTTGTAGTTTTCAATGAGAGGTCTGCTTCATGTTTATATCTGTGTGTAACGTGTCTTTTTCCTCTGATTGTTTTTGAGATTTTTCTCTTTATCACTGGTGCTGAGTAAATTAATTGTGATGTACATAGGTGTAATTTTTTTGATGTTTCTTGTGCTTGGGGCCATAGAACTCTTGGATATGTGGGTTCATAGTTTCCATCAAATTTCTGAAAAATTTCATCCATTTTTACTTCAAATATTTTTTCTGTCTCCTGCTCCCATGCCTGTCTCCAGAGACTCCAATTCATGTATATTGGAATTGGAATCACCTTTGGAGTTGTTCCGTAGCTCATCATTGATGCTCTCTTCATTTTCTTCAATCATTTATTCTCTCTGTGTTTCAATTTGGGTAGTATCTATTGCCACATTGTCAAATTCACTAATCTTTTCTTCTGCAGAGTCTAATCTGCCATCATTCCCAGCAAGTGTAATTTTCATCTCAGATGCTCTTGTTTTTCATCTCTAGACATTGAATTTGGGTCTTTTTATATCTTCAATGTCTCTAATTAACATGGACAATCCTTCCTTTAGCTTCTAGAAGATGTGGAATACAGTTATAATGACTTTTAACATGGCCTTTCATATTAATTATACCATCTGTGCATTTCTGCATCAATTCCTATTAATTGATTTTTCTTCTCCTATAGGTCATACTTTCCTACTTCTTGTCAAGAATTGGAAAGGGTCTGAGATTTTATCCTACTTGCAGATTAACAAGTTAGCTACCCACAATTCCTTGGATGCTGACAGAAGACATTAAGCCTCCAGGTCAGAGATAAAGAACAGTTTATTATTCAGACAATAGCAGTAGCCAGAGTATTTGTACTCTTTCCTGAGCCCTAATTCTCACAGGGTGACCAGGTGATACAGGTATCACCCGTATCAGTGGGTTGTATTATAGGGGAGGAAACTTGAGCTTAGAGAATCTGAAGCTTTTTTAATGAACAGTAAGCATGCCTACTCTTTGATCTGGAGGGAGGCACCATTCCTATCTTCCAAGGCTGTAAGCAAGACTGCTCTTTGCTCCAAAGGGAGACACTTTCTCTGTCTTCCAAGATTGTTCGCCATACAAACAGCCTTGAAAATGTTGACCAAAACAAAGACAGGCAATGCCTCTGCTCATAAAGTGTGCAGAAACACTAGAGATGCATGGAGATTTGTTTTCCAATACTTCTTTGCATGCCTGGTAATTTTATTGATTTTACTTTGTTGGACATGAGATACATTTATTTTCCTATGATATTCTTGAGCTTCATTCTGGGATGCAGTTAAATTACTCAGAAACAGTTTGATCCTTTCAAGTCTTGCTTTTATGTTATATTAGGGAGGACAAGAGCAGCATTTAGTATATCGTCAGTTTTGCTCCATTACTGAGGCAAACCCTTCTAAGCCCTCTATAATTTTTTAGGTTTTCCAGTCTGGCTGGTGGGAACAGGTACTTCGTCCAGCCTTGTGTAAGTTCCAGGTATCATTCCCTCAAATCCTTTAGTGTTCTTTACCCAGCCTTGGTCAATTTTTCCCCATGCATGAACTGATTAGTGCTTAGTAGAAGACTTGAGGGATTTCCTCTGTGGCTGTCTAGAGTGTTCACTCTGTGGAGCTCTCTCCTCTCCAGTACTCTGCCCTGTAAACAGCAGACACCCTGGCCTCCCAAGACTCTCAGCTCTGTCTCTCCAACTCAAAGAGTCTGCTGGGCTCTGCCTGAGTTCTTCCTCTCTGCACTGTGGCCTGGGAGTCTCTTCAGGCAGTTAGTTGGGGTAACTACAGGGAAACATAATTTCTTGACTCTCAGGTATTATTGAGACTTAGCAAATTTTAATATGAATTCATACATTTACTCTCCATGACAATGGAAAAACATTAGAACACTTTAGTTTACCTCATTCCAATAAATGCCATTACTGTGGTATGTTTTAGTTCTATGTATATCTTAACTCCCGTAAAAAATTATTATTATCATCATTATTGGTTTGTACCATCAATATTCATTTAGACTTATCCAATACTTACCATTTACCTTGCTTTTAATTCCTTCTTTATCTTTGACCTTCTATCTGAGATCAATTTGCTCCTATCTGAAGAACATCAGAATTCTCTGGTGATGAACTTTCCTTTCCTTTTTGGGTCTGACATGTCCTTAATTAACCTCTATTCTTGAAACATACATTTTCCCTGGGTTTAGAATTCTTGATTGGCAGCTATTCTGTCATATTGTCTTTTTATTTCCATTATATCTATTGAAAAGTCAGCTATCCATCCAATGGTTTGTTTGAAGATTGCTTTTTGGATATTCTGTTTATTGGATTTCAGCAATTTTATTATGATGGGCCTACTTGTGGATTTATTTTGCTTGGCGGTCAAGGGGCTTTTAGAACATGTGGCTTGATGTCTTTCAATGTAGGAAATTTCTCATCATGCTTTCTTCAGATTTGCTTCTGCACAATTCCCTCTCTCCTTTCTGTCTGGGACTCCAAATTACATATGTGATAGACATTGTCATTTTATCCTCCATCTTTTCCTTTTCTTTAATGTTTGCCATCCTTTCTTCCTCTACTGTTTTTATTCTGGATATATTCTTCTGACCTAAATGCTAGTTCACAAATTCTTTTTCATCTGTATCTAATATGCTGTTAAACTACAAATCCACTTACTGAAATCTTCATTTCAGTTGTGGTATCTTTTACTTCTAGACTTTCTTTTCATGTTTTCTTTTTCTTTTTTTGTTTTGAATTTCTAGTTCTCAGCTAAAATTTTCAATCTTGCCTTTATCTCCTTACACATAGTCAGCATAATTATTTTATACTTTGCGTTTATAAGTCTAATATTTTAAGCCCAAATGGGCTTGCTTTTCTTGACTGCTTTCGTGTTACCTTGTTTCATTTTTTCTGGCTATTTTTTGTATGTGTGTGCTGGACATTATATTTAACAAATTCTTTAGGTAAATGGTTTGAAACCTACAACACTCTTTTTTGTTCATCTAGTAAATATTTTACATGTGTTTTTTTCAGGTGCCTAGAGGGACTAACAATCTGGGTTGGTCTTAATTTAGTTGGAGGATGGAGATGATTCAGAGTTGGGCAGCAGTCTTTTAGAAGGCTGATCTGCTGATTCATTCTTCCTGCTAGGGTTAGGGTTAGGGTTAGGGTTAGGGTTAGGGTTAGGGTACATATCTGGAGTTTCAACCCAAAACACAGGGGGTTTACCAGAGTTCTTTGTCCTTTTGAGCAATGGGACTCAAGACACCTTTTACAGAATCAGCAAATGCACTAAGATAAGAACAGTTTCAATTCTGAGCTCACATCTCTGGATATCCATTTTCTCCCATAATCTATGCTGACAATTCTCTATCTTGTTGCTCTCTGACAACTTTAAGTAGACATTCTCCCTCCGTACATATATATGTAGCTGTTTTTGTTTTGTTTTGTTTTTTGTCTAGGTTGTCTAGTTGTCTTCAGTGGGAGCAACGGTCTACATTATTTAGACTTTCATTACTGAGAGCAGAAGTGACTGCTTTTTCTTTCTCATTTTTAAACAACATATACTATAATTTTCAAAGGTAAAAGCAAACATTTATGTGAGATATGTTGATACTAATTTTGAAACAATTATTTTGACGTTTTCATACATTTAATGAGTCTCTTACTATATAGTCTTTTGCAACTGTGCTTTTCTCAGTCTTGAATTTTTCCTTCCTTTCTATACATATTGTTTTTTGCACAGGCCTTCTGTTACGTTATTCAGAAAGAATACGGGGTGGCATATTTTCTTAATCTTTGTATTCCTGAGAAAATATTACTCTTGACCTCATGCATGAATAATAACTTTACTAAATATAGAAACTGTGTCCTTTAGAGCCTGGAAATGTTACTTCATTTTCTTCTAGTAAAGTTGTGGGAGAAGAAGGCTAAGGCTAATCTGATTTTGGTGATTTTGTTTGTAACCTAACTTTGACTTTCCTCTATGCTTTAAAAGCTTTTCTTTATCACTGATCTTTAGAAATTCCATGAGGCTTTGCAGGCTTCTGTTCCCATTTGAGCGTTTATTATCTTTGCCTATAAATATAATGTGTACTCTCATGTTTGGGGTGGAGGAACTGGTTTGCATTAGGAAAACTTTTTTCTGCTCTTTTTCTAAAGATTGCTTCATTTCTGTTTGTTCTATTGTCTTTTATTGGTATCCAAGGATATGTAGATTTAATCTCCTGGATCTATTCTGTATATGTCTCACATTTATTCTCCTTGTTATCATATCTTCATTTCAGTAGTTGCAAACCCAATGCCTGTAGAGTTCAGGCAGGTAACAAAAATAAATGAAGCCAGCCTGGTACAAAAAATAATGAATGATGATAATTGTAGAGAGCAAATGTCCTTTCTGAATGTGGTAGCTACCGATAGTATTCAGCTCTAATAAAGTAGTACCAGATTCAGTATTTTGCCAGAAAAACTAAAATCTGAGTTTTTAAAAATATAATATTTCTTAGCAGAATAAAAACTGGAGAAAGATCTCACAACTTACCATTGGGTTGATCTTGGTCACACATAGAATGATCTGTTACTTCATTGTCTTTTGTAATATTGTCATCCTTTGCAGAATCTGACACAACAAACAAACAAAACCTCTAGTAAGCATTTTTAATCATGAAATAGAGTAGCTTCCAGAACTAACATGATAGATTTATGTTTGGGGGACAGAACTTACTATTTTTTAAGAATACCATTAAAATACTTTAATACTTGAATCAATAAGTTAGATTTTCTTAAAATACTACATAAGCTATCTGCACGAAGTTTACAAGGTAAAGATGATAGAGATTTGGTTGAGACATCTTTTTGCAACAAACAAGAAAATATAAGAAGATTTTATGCATTTGTGAAAGTCTTAGGAGAATTGTGCAAAAGGATATGAAAGGAAGGCAAAATAGAGAAGATTAAAGGAATAGCTAATTTTAATGTTCTTAATGCTTCCATTACTGTAGTTGTTCATATATGGGAGCCTGGAGTCCTTGAAAGAGCCAGATGCAGATCTTTGAGATCCAGCGGTAATTAAGTTTGTCTTCCTCAGGAACCATACCAGTAGAACAATAGCAAAAGGGGCATGCAAGCCTTCTGTTCTGTGCAATTTCATCCGCTACCTCATATAGCATGTTTAAACGTGGAATCAGCACAAGGTCATCTTTTTTTTGTCATATGGTATACTTTACAGGAAATAACGTAGCTAAAAGAATTTCAGTGACAATGGACTCTTGCAAAGCAAGAAAGGGTCCCTTGTTGGATGTTTGAGGCCTCTCTGGAGGCTCTTTAAAAGTCATTGGAAAGAGCATGTGAGTGGGTCAGCAGAAAGACAGAAAATAGGTTCTTTAATTCATTCCACAAATATTTTTTAAGGGTCAACTGTATGCCAGACGCTGTTCTTGATGCTAGAGAGTCAATAGTAAACAGAGCACCAAATATCTGTCCTTATGGAGGTTACAATCCAGTAACCTCTATGATATTTTTCACGCAGCTAAAAGGGTCATAAGTGAAAGATATCCAAAAGCCATAAGCTAATCCTTTTCTAAAAATTATTTTATTGAGGTCATATTGGCTTATAACATTGCGTAAATTTCAAGTGTACATTATTATATTTCAGTTTCTGTATAGACTCCATAGTGTTCACCATCAATAGTCTGGTTTTTATCCATCACCATATGTATGTGCCCATTTACCCCTTTTTCTCTCCCCCCAACCCCTTCCCCTCTGGTGCCATGAGCTAATATTGGATGCATGTGGCTGTGGAGAAAGCTGGGGATGGTGGATCGACACTTGTTATTACTTACAGATAGGTTCTCTACTGAGTTAGTATCACTCAGTTGAGTTTTAACAGATTCCCTAACAGAATGAATCAAATGGAGTCTAACATGTTATTCTTTCTTTGTTTCCTTTTCCGTCTTCCCTCTCTTCCTTCTCAGACTAGAAGATAGCCTTAAACAATATGGTTTGGAATATTATGAGAAAGTTTGTTTCTTGAAACTGCCACAAGCAACGTTTGATGGACAAGTGAGAAACCTGGGTAGTTAACATATGATTCAAATTTAATAACCAGCGAAGCAAGTATACACCCAAAGTGTATGGTTTTAATTAACTGCAAATAATTCCCCCAAGGCAAATGTTTAATTATCTGCACAACTTCTTATTTCTTCCTGAGACTGACAATAAGTTTCAACACCCAAATTTGGAAGCAAAATTGATCATAGACACATTTTCCAAACTGTTATCTCACTCATGTCAAACTGTTTTAAACTAGCTCCCATTAAAATATGCCTTTTTAATTTTGGCTCTAACATGTGGATAAAAAAAAATCCTTTGAATACTTTTTTCCACCTTAACACTGAAAATGAGCAAAGATTGAAAAAGCTACCACACAAATCAGGCTAACTTTTAATTTTGAAAGTGTTTTAGTATTTTTGTTAGTTTGTTTATAGAAAATGGCATTATTTGATATGTTATCTTGGGCAAAGCTCATTTCTGTCAACCTTAATGTTTTAAGATTATCCGAGATTTTGCATGTAGTTAAAATTTGTTCATTTACACTCAACAATAACTCATTATGTTTTCTAAACTTACATAAACATTATGTTTCACACACCAAATATTACATAAGAAATGTCTTTTAAATAATGATTTGCATTGAGTTTAAAAGTTTATGGTCTAATGATTCACATAAGATGGGTGAAAGTATTTGAAAAATTAATCTCTAGAATGTACCTGTTTTATCACCTATATTTGTTTCTTTAGCAAATTAATTGACCTTTTAATTTCAGTTTCCTTGGGGGAGTTGTTTTAACATTGCTCAGGTGCCTCTGATCTTATGTGTCCTAAACTATATATAATGTATTTCACTGAACTCAAGACACCATCGATTATTATTTGCACTATTATTTTGTGTAGGATTAGAAAAAAATGCTACCAAATTAACTATAACACACTATCAATCCTAAGAATGTGTCTTGATTTCAGAAATAAAATTTATGAAAGACTGTGCATCCTAGAAATATTATATTTGAGTATATTCTACGTGTACACAAATACACATCTTTATGTGATGATAAGGATTTTGTATCAACATGCCCCATCATCAAAACCACAAGCTCATTTTGTCTTGTATGTGAGCTTCTTCTCCAGAAATGTTCCACCTCTACATACAGCAATAAAGCAGGATAAAAAATATAAACTCATGATAGCATCCACACATAACCAGGTGGCTGTGTAAAATTTCTATTGTAGTTTCTCTATTAAAAAGGCTATTTGAATTTCCAGTCTCATGAACCTAAGCAAGACTGGATTTGATCCTGAATGCTTTAAATCATGGGTCCTATTACATTACCCTTAGTTGTGGGTTTGAAATGACAGTGGAGCTTTTCTGCTTAGGAGGTGATGAAAGCTGCACCATATATGTATATAAAATCATTATTCGTAATGAGAAAGAGAGATAATATATTTAGTATATAAGGTCACTAAAAGAGCTTATTTTTTCTGTCAGTTCTAAAAACTGCCATGAAAAATGTAGTTGTATATACTAAATTCTTGCTGCACCATGGATTCACATTTTGTTTAATTCTAAACCTTATGATTTGGTAATGTTCAAAAAAATGTAGAAGAGTTGGGGCCAGCCTCGTGGCATAGTGGTTAAGTTCGTACGCTCCACTTCAGTGGCCCAGGGTTCACTGGCTCAGATCCTGGGCGCGGACCTATACATGGCTCATCAAGCCATGCTGTGGTGGCATCCCACATAGAAAAACTAGAAGGACTTACAACTAGGACATACAACTATGTACTGGGGCTTTGGGGAGAAAAAAAAAAGGGGGAAGATTGGCAACTGATGTTAGCTCAGGGCCAATCTTCCTCACAAAAAAAGAAAGCATAAAAAAAGCAAAAGAGTTCTCACCTAATTCTGAGAGTCAGTCAGTGTTATTTGAATAGCAGAGGACTAGAATTAAATTTATATGTAGATTCTGACTTTCAAAATCTTTAAGGTCAATGTCCTATTAGAGAATTTTTTCAAATGCAAATATCACATCAAACATTCAAGCCAAAGTTCTAAAGATAGATTATCTTTTAAGATTAGCAAGAATAAAAAAGAAATGTTTTCATAAAAAATCTCCTCATTTAGGAAGTTGAAAAAGGTTTAAAAGAATATTTTAAATAGATTAAAATTAAAAAAATAGAACAGAAATTCTAAAAAGTGGATCATTTTTAATGTAGTCAACAACACATGTCCACACAGTATAGCACATGTATAGATTTAAGCTGTGATGAGAAATGATAAAAACATTGAATTTTAATAAATATATCTAAACTATAAATCAAAATAAATGCTATGCCTTTCAAAGATGTCCCTTTAAAACAAAAGTTTTTAACCCTAGGAGATCCCTGAATATACCCTAGGGGTCCACAAACCCTTTTTAAATGATATGCAAAATGTGTGCATATATTCATATGTTTATTTGTCTGGGAGGAGATAGTTTCCATTATATTCTTATAGGGACTCACAACCCCAACAAGGGTAAAAATGACTATAGACATGTATACCCTAATGCCAGTGAGACTGCCATTTTACAAAAGATTTCTAGGACTGTTATTGAGGAATGAGCTATAGAACTTGATGCCTACTCTGTGGATTCATCAATGACGGCAATTCTTGAACTCTTAAGGTAGATCGGACTCAAGGAAATTGCCAAAAAACTATAGAGATGTGTTTAATAAATGAGGAGGAAAATCCAGCTGGCAAAAAACACTTTGCACCAAAATTAGAGGCTACTATAAAGTCTAAAACTCAACAGATCATTAACTGTCTTTGAAGACATTTTCAATTCAGGAGGTATACAAAATCCATCTAGTAAGAGAGGGGCCCCGACTGCTATTTAGCACAGTGGCAGAAGGTCATTTTGGTGTAAAAGGTCTAACGGGTCTGAACAAAACAAATGCCATCCACAAACACCTACATGTAAAATCTCCTTGCTCTGTAACATGTAAATATCCACACATGAAGATCTTAGCTTGACGCAAAAGTTGTACAGAAACACAGTCCCCTGGATTTCCTTTGATTCTTGTACACTGATTTGTTTAGACCAAGCAAAACATTTCTCTTGGCCTACTCATTTGAATCACTGGTTTATTATGTGAAGCAATTAGAATAAAGTAGTTTCTCCTCCATCTGAAGAGTTTGCTTATCCACAATAAACTAGAGTCTCCACAGCCAATTATGGTCTCATTGAAGCTTTGCAGTGACTATTCCACTATATAGGAAAAATATATCCTGTAATATGTCCCAGAGTTTTCAGATGGTGAGGATATGAACTGTGCTTTGTCCTGGTGAAGCTGGATATACAAGGCTGATCTATATTTACCTGAAAAGTAACTGGGTCCATAGGACAGGACACTGCCCTGAGCATCGGGAGGCTCAATTGAGCTGTGGTTGGTCATCTGTCTTCATTATACAATCATTAACCCCTATTAAAAGGGGGCCGATCATCCCCAGAGATATGGAATCGGGGTACTAACAGTCTTTGAGACATGGCTGGGAAAACCACCATTGTGTACCACTAACTTTGTTTC